ATATTTTTATTACTTATTAGTAAGTTTTATATGGAAATCTGCTGGCATTCTTCTTCTCTACAATATAAAGGTCTGCAACTTCCACTTCAGTGAACAACGTACAATGGGCGACACCGCACGGATTTATTGATGTCTTGCTAACATTAAATACATACATACATATGTACACATTGTTGACACTCTACACATATGTACGATATTAATATAGACAAATAATAAAATTTTATTTGACGGGAAGGACGTTGCAACAGTGACAATACAACGCACCCATCAACTAGCTGCCATAGCTCTAGCTCTCACTAAGTATTTATGCCAAGCGCGTATAGATTTTGTATGGCAGAACCTTTTATGTCATGTGCACACACAATGACAAACATATATTATATACACATATATATATATATATATATATGTACATGTGTATTTTACAGTCAAAAGCATTTAGTTGTGTGGGCCACTGTTGAGAGATGGAGATGGACGGCGCGTGGAGGAAGAAGTTGTAAAAGCAGCTGATGTGTTAGGCGGCAGCGACGTGCTGTCTTGCTGCAATGTCTGCATAGTGCCGCGACGATCTCGCTGATTTGCATGCAACTCACATACTTTTTCCTCAGTAAAACTGGCGGGGATTTTTTTTTATTTTTTTTCGGTTTGAAAAGCAGTGCTGGCATTTAAAGTAATTACATTTTACTTGGTTTTATTATAATATATGCTGCTTTAACTCTAGCCTGGGATATGCATATATTAAATTGTCAGGCATATTAAAGAAGGATATATACGTATGTATGTTTGTATAGAAAATATACTTTTCAATAATTTCAAACGGAAATAAGCAAGAAACAAAGAAACTTCCGAGACGGTGAAAAGAACAAAATATATGTTGAGTATGGAAGGAGACATCGTCGAATGAAGATGCATTTAACGAAAACATATATATTTTATAACTTTTTTTTTAATAAATTATAACATTATTTATTGTATAAAACTTTAATTTTATGATATAAGTATTAAGTAAGCTACGGGGCCTGGTTGCTTGTTTAATTTTTAGTTTAACAAGCCGTATGTGCTGTAAATTAAATTAAAACTTAATAAACAAATAAATTTATTAATAAAGATTGCTGCTATTTAGGTTTTTCCAAAAAGCATTAAATAATATCTATTTAATTTTGAAAATATTTAACTTTTTTTTAATTAAACTTAAATTATTATTTTTTTTATTTATTTAGGCATATGTACATATGTACCTCCCAATAATAAATCCTTTCCAAAACTTTATTGATTAAGTATTAAATTTATAAAAAAAATTAGTAATTTCTTTTCATAATTTTGAAAATTTTTAGAGTATCTGTAATTATTTATAGCGGAATAAACATTTAAAAAATATATATTTAATTAGCAAAAAATAATATAAAATTATGTCATAAATAATAGTTTTAATAAACACACTACTTTCTGTACCTATATGCACTTTTTAAGCTCTTATTGGTTTTTCATAAATGTTGAAGCAATATATGTATAATTAATTAAATTTTCACGTACTTTTAAGGTTTTTTTTTTTAATTATATATATATTTATATATAGATACGATTTGGGCTTTGTAACCGCTGAAGCGATTTTTCCGCCGAGCTCCTACTCAAATTTGTGGTTTTGCGTCTTGAAGGACCGACAGTTTACACTAAATCACCGAAGGGCTGATGGTTTTTTTTTTTGAGGAGCCTTTGTTTCATGTCCGAAATACACTCGCAGAGGTTGACATTCCCTGCCGAGAGGTGACCGCAATTACAAAATTTAGCTTAATTTTTCATTTAAATTATTTTCTATAATTTTTTGGATGTTAGTACGACACCAGGATTTGAATCCGAGCCTTCTGAATAGCTGTACAGAATGCTAACCACTCGTCTACCGCCGACATATTTTAAATTTACTTTAATATTTATTAAATATTATTATTTTCCAAAAAAAAATTAATATATTCAGTTTTAAAGTATTTTACTAATTTTTTTTTTTGGATGGGGTAGAAAACTATTTAATTTTAAAATAACTGTAATTTTTTCATTTTCAGCAATTTTTTTTTAATTTTTCCAACAATTTGAGTTATTTCTTTGAATAAGCAACAAAACGCAAATTTGAGGAGTGATATGAAAAAATATGTATTAAATATTAAAAATTGTATTATTTATAATAACTATTTCATTAATTGGTAACTGAGTAATTTATTAATTCAATAATTATTTAATATACTTTCTTAAAAACAAAAAACTAATTGTTTATTTTTTATATTTTTTAGTTTCTTTATTTTCTTTTTATTTTTTTTTTTAATTTTTTTTTAATTTTTTTTTATTTTTTTTTTTAAATTTTTTTATTTTTTTTTAATTTTTTTTTTTATTTTTTTTTTTTTTCTTTTTTTTATTTTATTTTTTATTTTTTTATTTTATTTTTTATTTTTTAATTTAATTTTTTATTTTTTTTTTTATTTTATTTTTTTTTTTTCACATTTACGCGCCATACTAGAGTTGCAAGGAGCAAGAGAGTTACTCAATTTGTTGTTACATACAAATATAAGTAAGACCTTTAATTAAAATATTTTTTTCGTGAAATCTTTACAAATTTATTTCTATCGGAGTGCAACCAAGCGTAAGAAAATAAAAGAAAAATTTCAAGTTCACGAATACAATCAATTTCAAATCTTTCTATAAATGTTTAAAGTTTTTTCCAGACAAATTGCCTGCAAAATGTTTTTCGTATTGCAAATTTGTGACCAAAATCACTAACCCTCCAATTAATATTTCAATAAAAAGTGGAGAACATCTTAAGAAAGTAATTGGAGCCAAACAAAATAAAAGCACAGCATGAAAGCGAAGACCGAAACACGCGCACAGCCATACAAGAATAAATAATGGTGTTGAAATAGTACCCAAGGGGAGTAAATACCATTGAATTAAAAAAAAATATATTCTGCAAGTACACCAAATACTGCGAAATAAAATCTTTGGAGGGTTAAGAAAACAGGCAAAGGATGTATAATAAGTGAAAAATAAAAATGTGTGGTTTACTTTTATGTTTGTATGGCTCCTCAGCAGTGAAAACCAACCACCACTGGAATTAAGGTGGAAGTCAAATAGAAATCAGAAAATATGTCTGTATATGTACATACGATATACATAAATAAGCTTTTTGTAAATGTACATGTGTATGGATATATATTTAGTTGTAGTAATAAATTTTTGTGTTTTTTTTTTTAATCAAGCAAACCAAATAACACGCCACGCCACTCAGCTTGTGCCGTCTAGACCACCAAAAATTATATTTCTTTTTCTATATTTTCGTATAAATTATTCTGGTTTCATTTCAAGTTATGAAAAGTGTGGAATTCTTAAACGTTTCAACGCACACACGCTATTCCAAATATGTCTGCAACTGACAAATTTTTCGATATATTGTACATAAGCATAAATTTATGGCAAGCGAAAATGGTGTTAATGTGAGGCAGATTTTGTTATGGCACATGTAATAGCATAAATGATTTGGTATGAATGATTACTGGCATTATGCTTGAATAAAATATTTGGAGTGAAATAAAAATATTGTTATTTTTAATTGGTGCGAAATTACACAAGCTCGAGAATTTTCGAAAAATATTTTCATGGCATAAATAGTAAATGTGCAAGCATGATTTTTTTTCGTTGGTATTGTTGCATAAATTTCAATTATATTGTACATATATATATATATGTATATATTTTAATATTATTTCTAGTATATTAGACCATAACCTCTGTGTGCCATATCAATTAAAAATTTCATCGCATAAGTGAAAGTCCATAAAAATCCCCAAAGGAATTAAAGTCGGCAAACATCGCTTAATGTAAGCTCAATCAACGCTGTAAGAGTGTGTGTGAGTGTATGCACAAGTATGAAGCACAGCATAATTACATTACAACAATTTGCCTTAGAACCGGCAATTTGGCAAACACACACACAAATAAGAGGAGCGCACATAGCATAAATGCCGTGATCCCAGCAATGCGCACGTCCCAATACAACCACCACCGCATTCACCGTTCCCACCTCTCACATGTTACTCAACGGCGCTGGTAGATAAGCATTGCACCATTTCTGACTGATTTCAAATATCAAGTGCATTCTGCAACAACAACAAGGTACATAAATAATGCAAACTATAAAAAGCCATTTTCAACGTCCAATGTTTTCAACCTTCCTGCTGTCCTGCACGCAAGGCAAAAGTGCCAGTTCGAAAAGCACGGAAAAAGAGGGTGAACGGGAGGTAGGCATTACATTGTGTATGTATAGTTTTTAATTTCATTTTCAGGCAAGAAAGAGAAAATGCAATATAAAAATCGATTGTCCTTGAGGAAGAAGTAGCCAACATGCCGCAGGCAGTTGGTGGATGGCAAACAGCAAGGAACATGAAACGCATAGCAAGTTCGTGCACGAATCAAGCATACGGAAGTCGAGCCAGCTGACGGTCATGTAGCCATACATTAAATACATGCGTATGGATATATGTATGGTGCCGTTAAACTGCATGAACCTTATTGATTTTTCAATGTTGGTTGGTTCATATTATAAAGAAATATTAAGCGTTTGCAATAGTATAACCTAATCTTTTTTATTTACAAAAAGTGTAAAAAACTATTATGCGTAACATTTTTTACCACGAAACAAAGATCTTGCTCTAACCAGATCCTGCACATTGTTGGCATGCATTTACATTTTATATTCGTCGCTTGACTGATTTAGCCGCACCCAAAGTGTCTACCGCATGCTTTTTGGTTTTACTCTGCATTCTAAAGCGGCATCAGTCAAGTCGTCAATATGCCAGACATATTTTTTTTCTCTTTTCATTTGCTTGAACACATAAATTCCTTATGCATTAATAATCAATACATTCCTAACCACATGTACCACACCTTAATTGTCGCTCTACTCCTTTTTACAATTTAACATACAAATCATAAATTTAAGCATTTTGTGCACCCACCTGCCATTACCGTATCAGCGAGATTATATTTGGTACCAGTTTTTGGGAAATCTTTTAGCTTTCGATTCGTCAGTATGAGTTCCCCGCTTAGGTGAGCCTCCTCCAGGATGCGCTCCAGGGAACGCGCCAGCTGGGAATGTGCCATACTGCCCATACTGGCACTTAGTCCACCTATGCTCCCGCTGGTGCTATGAAGGCGATTATAGACGGCCGCTGTTGCAGCCATCCCGGTTTTGTAGGCGTGGTTATGGATGGATAATTTTTTTTTTTTTTAACTTCGATTTTATATGCTTTTGTGTACTAATAAATTAGTAGAATACAAAATTCACTTTGGCATTATTTTTCCCTATTCATACATACATATACATATTTATTCACATTGCAATTTATACTAAGCATAAAAAGGCATTTCTCACTCCTTTCCTTTTTCCACACAAACACACACTTTCCAAGATTTTCCAATTGAGAAAAATCCAACAAATGCTCCGCGAACACAAACAATTTCAATCAAAATTCTATCAACGAATGAAGCCGCAGAAAACTTATGAAAATGATAAACAGCGGCAGAGAAGCCAACCATTTGTTTACCAGGAACGTATTATGTTGCCAAATGCCTCAAAGAAAAATAATGCACAACGTAATCAAAGAAACAACCTATATAACAGAGCGCTCTCACGCAAAATAAATTGTTCTGAATCAACGAGTTCGAACTGTATATGATAAAAAAAAGTCTAGCTATGGAGTATCTTAACTGTAATCGCAAACCGTACTATTTCTTGTACACGACTATTATCGCAGTTTGCTAACCATGGAACTCACCATCAGCACACAGTTTACTCTCCTGAAAACACATAATTACTTAACAGAAGTAAGGTTTCTACCAAATGGTCTACTCTATTGACCATGCTGCTGTGTTGTCCGCAACTCTTATACAATTTCAATTTCACTCAGGCATCTTTAGCAGATTCTTTTTAAATGTCTCTGATAGTGAATATTCGATACATGTACTCTAGAACTTTTCGTTATCGGTCTCTATCTTTTATCTTGTATGAATAATTGCTTATTTGCGACAATGTTAAAGTAAACTGCTAGTGACGTATGAAATCGACCCAGAGAATTTTTGTTGCAAAATCGCATGCACAATTTAAAAGAAAAACATTCCATATTTTTTTTTAATTGGCAATTTGTAACCGGTGAAATTAACGATTGTCGAGCTCCTGCCCAAACAAAGGGATAGTTGTGCAATTTTTTCTAAGCCGGCTCCGTACGATTGATGGACTTTTATTAGGTTTTTTATTTGATGTCAATGATACAGTTAGAATTCTCGTTTAGTCAAATCCGAGCAATGTACTTCTCTAAAACAAGTGCAATAAAAAGTAGCTCTTCTCATATTTCCAGAAATAATCAAATTAGTAAACCTCTGGCAGCTCTTGTTTTTTACTGACGTGTTGCTGCTGTCAAAAACAACTGCTGGGAGAACTTATATTGCTCTCTTATTAAATATTGGACGCGGCTTTGGTTGATTGTTGGTGACTTGTTTTCTTTAAATGGACAAATTCTACCAAGTTTTTGATTCCTTTCATTTCTAATATAAAATGATTGGTGGCTGAAGCGGCAAAAGTATTAGTAAGCAGTAAAGAAAGTTGAGCAAAAGGTAAGGAATTTGTAAAACAAGTTTACTTTACTAATCAGTTGCCACTTACAGGTTATGTTCTTGTGCTTCCCAAAGCTCTCTGCTGCTGTAGGACCGAGAATCAAATATACATAGTCCATTCCAAAATACTATTGCCTGTTGATACAAGTGTATAAAAACAAACATTGTCGGCATGATTGACCGGCTGTACAAACTAATTTGGCTTGCCGTTCATATTATTGTCAGCATATATGAAACCCTATGCTTTCTGTATTTACGGTTTCAAGCTTTAATAATTTGGTCATATGACTTTTGGCAAAACAGTGCATCTATTACCCGCCGCGACCGCGCATATTTATTAGGCTGCAAGGCTGAATTAACGAAGTTGCCTAAACATTTAAATTTGATCATTGGACCTGATCAACTTGGTTGTGTGAATGAGTCAGTCGTTACAAACATATTATCTTATGCCCAAATACTCGGTATAGATTGCGTCAGTTTATATGATGTACGTAGCGAAGGTGTTTCCGTAAAGCAGATATTCAAAAGGCGAAAATCATATTGGAAGGAGTTACAACATAACCAATTTGAATTGGGCCCAGAAGAGTATGAATCGACATCAAAGGATATAAATAAGAATGGGTGCAATGTAAATGGTTACGCGAGAAATGGTAACATAGTTGGTGAAAATGGCAGTTTATGCAATGGAAATGCATATAAAAATATTTCAAGTGCACATATGAAAGTGAGTAAAAATTTTATGAACGCTAAATTAACAAAAATTGGTCTAGCTCGTCATTTTGCTGGCGTGTGTGTTATCAGTATCACGAAAATACTATGCTGAAAATTTAAAAGAGGCCTTATCACTGATATGTTAATCAAACTTCCTCAGACATCCGATTTGATAATTACGGCTACAGTATTTTTTTTTTTAGTTTTTAATTGCTACGTACATACATATTTGATTTCACATAAAATTTTAATTTTGTTTCTTTTAGGTTTATCAAATTAGTAATGAAGATAATCGCCCCTTGTTAGCGAAAATCTGTCGAAAACTTTTTCAACAACGTGATACCTCAAATGTGCAAAAACTACTCGCTGACCGTAAACAACTAGAACAGCACATCTCCGAAGAGTTGGCGAATCATATGCAATGGAATTTTGTAGATCCCGATTTGAGCATAATATTCAACAGAGACACATGTAGTTTCGGCGTGCTCCCATGGCAGACACGTTTCACCGAATTCCAAACTTTTGAGACTGGACGTTATATGAATGCGGAAAATTTTGCCAATGTTCTTTATAAATATTCGAAATGTGAACAACGTTGGGGGAAATAGAAGCTAAATATATATACAAACTACTAAGGGGATAACTATCTGAGATGGGGTAAATCAATTAGCTTATGTATATGAAAGAAAAAAAGGGGTCTGCAATAACTGAACATAAGTTACTGTACTGCTTACATCATTCGATTGTGCACACTACTTTAGATTACATACGTACGAAAAATATTTAATATTTATATAAATTAAATTTTAATATTATTATTACAGTTTTTTTCTGTTAATGTGCTAAGCTAAATGTATAGAAACAAATTCAATCACATTTTTTGTTAGATCACAGTGAACATTGTAAAAAAAATATCATCGAAATATGCTTTAGTGTATCATTATTATTTTTTTTTTGCATATCAATTACTGTATATAAAATACAAGATTATGCAAAATTTCAAAAATCGTCTTTTTAATCGTAATTTGGAATTTTTTATATTGGTCAAATGGCAAAGTGTGGCTAAACGTATACTAAAATTCCTACAAATCATGCATAATCACTTTACATCGATCAGTTCTTCAATCAGGTTAAGATTTTGAAGTGTCTTGGTATTGCCCGTAATAATGTAATATAAATTGGAGACAGCAATGTGGCAAAATCTTCTCTTTATAGAGTTAAACTTACAGCCTTTTCCTGTCTATGCATTAATAGAATTCTCAAAAAAGTACGATAATTAATGGATGGGTCGTAAGATTAGTAGAAATTTGAATTTATATCCAGACAACACCTTTCTCTCTCCGTTGGTGCGATCCCTGCCATAAGAAGTCTGATGAGGAGATGTGGTGATCTCCGAAACAGCTGTCACTTCTACCATTTTTCTTTGTTGTATAACAAATATTCAATTCATACAAACAACCAGGCCTCGTAGTTTACTATATAGCATGGCCGCAAAAACAAATTATAATTATTTTGCATTTTTAATATGTATAAAAAGAGCTATAAATATCAAATTGTATTTATTGTTTCACTTCTTTTATATGTAATTTGTAATCATTTCCTCATTTAATTTTCTAATACTAAATATTAATAATCATATCATCAGAGAAAGAAAAGAAATAGTATGACTGATAAATATAGATATTTGTTGCTATATTTGTTGAAGCCGAAAAAATATTCTACAAAGTAATTTTCGGTTCGTTCCGGTCACGGGGACTATTGGCTTTGGTCGCCTCTTACGCAGGAATTTTACCACAAAGGAGTTTTCGGGGAATTTTGTGGGAGTGATATTCTTTGGCCTGTATCAAGTCCCGACGGTCGCGGGAACTTTTGAAAATTCTTGAACCCATACTTGACAGGTAGCGTGCAATGACTGATATACACAGACGCTTGTGAATGAGAAAAATACGTTAGATGACCTGTGTAACTTTCCTTTCTATTCTTTTCAAAGTTTACTTCCTCTTTGCCAAACATTTAAAGTTATGACATTCACCAGTTAAAACAGTTTGAAAGCTTTGGTATGCTGAAATATTATTCCGAGTTTGTAATTATTGTTTAAGCCTTTTAAATTATAAGAAAACAAGACTGAAATTATATAAATTAAGAGTATGTATATACATATATTTATGTATGTATATATTGTATATATATTTATATATTTACATACATATATATTGATTTTGAGATTATGAAAATAGGCAAACAATTATTATTCTTGCGTGTTAGAGACCTTTTCCTTGATTACATCAATATTTTGAGATAACAGAAATAAATTTTCCAGAAGATAGTCTTGATTTGTATGGATATCCGACATACGTCCTTTAATGTCCTCGACCTTATCACCTGTTGAAACGATGCTTTGTAAAACACTATTGACGAATACCTCACTACGACTGCGTATTTGACGTAGAAGCTCAGCAGTGTTCGTAATGTCGCCATTCGTAATCGAGATTTGTCGCCAAATATAGCTGATTTCACTTTTTATTGTGCTCTTAAGATTGTCCATTGCTTCCGTTTGGGTGCGGTAGAAGCTATTCTCTAATTCTTTTAAAAATATTACCAGTTTATTGACGATCTCCTCCCGCTGTTTGTCAAGTAAGTCATTAAACTGCGTTGAATATCCATTTCCCGTGTTGTTTTGGAGTTCAGTTTTCGATTTACACAAAACCTCGTCACTTTTATTCGAATTTTCGGGGGGATTGGCACTAATTATCTCGTAAATATTGCCCAACCAATATGTAAGTCTGTCGGTGTCCTTCAAAATTCTATCCGCGTCTCTACGATTTGTTTCCGCGGTTAGCTTGATGATTGTCGTAATATCCGAATAAACTTTGAAAATATATTGATAAACATTGATCAGATATTTTTTAAAATCTATGTATTTTACAATCTGATCTACTCTATATGGACTCACCTCTATCTGCATTACTCTTTAGTATGGTCTTTGTATTTTCAATTGCGCTAAGGGTGTCATTTGTTAGTCCGTATATTAATTCTCTGTCTACATTTGCAAGCGCATATTCTTTTTTGCTTTTATCTTGTACTCGCAACTCTTGAACACCAGCCGCTAACTCGTCGAATTTCATAAGCAATTTGTTTTCGAACTCATTGTTTATCGTAGGGATTGGCGAGCGTCTAAGCGACGCCTGTTGCATTATATAATTTGAGGTGTCTAAAAGATTTTCCACATTCGTTGATATTTTCATTATTTGTTCACTTATATTTGTGCTATTATCTGCCGCTTTTTCAACGACGATACTTGGTGGCAGTTGCTCCTTCGGTTCCGATTGTTGCTTACACGCGACCTTCTGCGCGATTAATTGTCTGGAGGTATCCAAAAGAATCTCAATATTTGCCGATATTTGAGTTAATTGTTCGCTTATTTCTGGTTTATTCTCCTCTGTTTCTTTTATTAGTCCTCCTGATGCAGGCATTTGCTGTGGCAGTAACATTTTCCGATTAGCTGCGTCCATAGGATAACTTGATGGTGATACTAGACGTTTATAATGATCGTAGTAGGGAGCGTCGAAGTGTACTTCTGGCTATAAGAAAATAAGTATTCTTGAAAGTGGGAATTTTGTGAAATTATAGGTTAAGTATGGTGTCTTAATTTACTTTTTTCAAAAGTAATTCATTTTGCCTTAATCGCAAATCTATGTCATGAAGTGAAGCCACGATGTTTCTCTGTCCTTTTTTCAACAACTCTCCCAGTGCTCTCTCACGCCATTCGTGTCGCATCAATTTGTTTTCTATAAGATTCAGCGAATAGATAACTGATTTCAATGTTTCACTAAGATCTCTAATCGGCTGCCTGAAATGAATATGTACATGTGCATGTGTAGTAAAATTATTGAATGATCCGTGAATTATGTTCACGGACCCGCATTTGTGAATGGAGTACCATCGCTTTCCAATGACACTCCAGTGTTTTGATAAAACTGAAAGTATTGGGTTCAATGTTAAAGATCTCTTAAAGGCACTTCTTTATAAGGAAGACGAGCTGGCATATGCATCGCTTAAAATCTACTCGACTAGCAGTGAATCTGAGCATCTTTTGGGAAATACAGCTGGTGAAAATGTGGTCCTGACGCATTAACAATCAATCAAGCACAATTCATCGATTTAGTTTGGATATATTTGATGCAAAAGATGCTCCACGGCGAGGAAGCGCAGATGTTGAAAATGTCGATAAAATAATGGGCATCGTCGAGTCTGAATGCCATTAAAAGAAAGCTCAAGAATCGAGTTTCCAGCTGCGAATCGTAGCTGACTCGCTGGAAAATCCACCCATTTCAGAACGGATGGTGATTGGTAAAGAAAAGTGGATCACTTATAGCAACGACAGTCGAAAACGGTTGTGGTCAAAGAGCAGTTATACGGCACAAGCGGTTTGTAAGCAAGAATTGACCGCTTGGAAGATTTTGTTGTGTGTTTGGTGGGATTGGCAAGGCATTATCTATTATGAGCTTTTTTCCTAAGATAAAACCCTCAAATCGGACTACCAAAGGGGAGGGGAAATGTATTTCATCAGGACAACGCCCCACCACTAACATGGAAAGAGACTCGCTAGAAGTTTCAAGAGCATGGTTAAAAGGTTTTCACGCATCCACCTTATAGTCCGGATCTCTATCAAGTGATTACCAGCTGTTGCTGTTTATGGCGAATAATTCGGCTGGTAGAGAATTGGACTCAAGAGAAGTCCTTGAAAATCGATTTCCCCAAAGTTTTGCCAATAGAAAAAGGGTTTCTTTAAGAGGCATAATGCCACTACTTTCAAAACCGCAAAAGGCCATGGAGCAAAATGCTACATATAGGCAAATAAAGTCTTCAATTTACGTTTTACTGGACTGAATATTTAAGAAGAAATCGAACATGTTTACTTACGACTCATCAGCTTTTGTTAAATCCAAAAATTCGAATGTGAACAGAATTAGAAATAGCAAGCAAGTTCGTCGGCACATTCTGCCCATTGTAATCTCCATAAGAGTTCCTGCAGATTGAGCACAGCGCGAGTCCGGCTTGTTTTATGTGTTAATACCTTATATACTGAAAGAAATGGAGGTTGCATAAAAAATAGTTACAAAATCCTTAAAGAGAACTATTTCTCTTACCTTCCTATAAAGTGTAAGCCCACTTACTCGCAACGGTAAAGAGTTTTCTGCTACGCTATGGTAAGGTTGCCAAAATCGACCAGGCGCAATTGCAAACTTCTGTATAAACTCGACTGTAGGTATTCGTGATTTCCTTTTTGTTTTATATGCAATCGAAAATTCTTTATATTTGAATCTTATCAACTTACAACAAACTGATTTGATTATTATTATTTTTTCATATAAAAATGTGCATTTTTACAATATTATTTGATTACAATTCTGAATACATAAATATACATACCAAGTTTTCTTAGTAATCTACTGATTAGCACTGCATTAACTATTAAACTACGCAAGTAGTAGTAGAACATACGTTTCAGAACTCAGAAATAGCATGCAAACTGAGACGACTTTTCAACACGACGCTCGGCTTGTGAATGGATTTCGAGTTTAACGGAGAAAATGAGACAAGACCTTCAATATCGACACTGAGTTTATTCCGCAACCAATCAGATATGATAAGAATAGGGGCTTGATATAGGCGGTGCTTACAAAACAAACAAGGTGACCTAGAATAAATGTAAGGAGACCTAAGTTCGCCTAGTTCCAACTACTAACTTTAATACTTTCTTCAAAAGTGTTTTATTTTAATATTGAGGTTGATATTTTAGAAATGATCTATTCCAAGTTGTTTACAATATGCTGAATTTTAACTTAAGAAAGCCATGTATCCGGCAGTCCAGCTGCCATCAGTTCTCTACAGTGTAACAGTATCACATCGAAAGTAGCTACAAAGCAAACTGAACAAACTTTCAACGAAATGCAACACTGCCGGCACCCAGACACAGTGACAGCGATCGCCCGATAGTCGAACTGGCGGCAAAAGAAACCATTCTATCTACAATAAAACAATTTGTCCATGGCAAAGTTTGTGCTAAAACTGGCCTTTGGACACTAGATGCCTCAATCGGATCACGTGGTTGTGACCAAAACTGGAACCGATAAATTAAATTACTACTGGACTGAACAGGTCACTGTTTAATGTGGCTTCACGAGTAAATAATGAATAATGTAAAATAATGTTTTTTTTCGCCGCAGCTGTAGGGACGAAGGAGAGAAAGAGTCTATTGAACACTATCTGTGTCATGGCACAGCCTTAACATCTGCGCGGCAAAAAATCACTGTTAAACACTAATTTGACTGTCTCGCAAAAATTGTTAAGCTCGTTGCTTTTATAAGTTTCGAATATTTCAGTTTCCGAAAGATTAAGTGGCAGGAACTTGGTTTGCAGGCATACGAAATTCTACTCGGTCAAAAATTTTAAACCGAACAACCATCGAGCGGGTCTGAAGCTCGGTGAATAGATCCAAAACCTGATGTCCACCGACACCGAATTTCATAAGAAAATTTTGTTCAGCGACGAAGTTCACTTTTGTTGGTTTAAGAACAATTTGCCAATCTTACATTTGCAGTGCAAAACGTCGCTGTTTGGTGTGATCTATGGGCAATGAGATAATTCATCAAAAATTAAGCCGGAAATAACGTAATTAATGATTTTTTCGTAATTTAATTCGAGAATGCTAATGTGGACTGCCTTTGGTTCAAACAAGACAACACTATATGATACACAGCGAAGGAGTCAATAAATTTATTGAAGGAAGTTTTTGTTGAGCGCAATATCTCGTGTATTGGGCCTGTGACGTGGTATCCCAGAATATGAAATTTAACAAAGATGAATTATTTTTTTGGGGGTTATGTGAAGTCGCCACTACGCAGAAAAGACCGAGACGATTGGCGTCTTGGAACACAATATTCGGCGCGTTATTGCTGACTTACGGCACCAGCTCCTGCAAAAATTGTCGAAAATTTGAAATTATTTTTAAAACACAATGCCAAGCTCTTTTCCTTATAATAAAGCTAATTACTTGGCCATAACATTATTTTATATGTTGTTTATTTCTTCTTGAAAAGCACATTCATTAAAAACACCCTTGCACTTTTTTCAAATTCTATGAATTTTATATGTGATTTTGTGGAGATTTAGTTCTTATCGTGTGCACATGGCTAACGAGCTAGTGAATAATAACAATTTGAGTGATGACGCTCTCTTATAACAGTTTGAGAGCCATTAAATTCACTGCCCTCGCATTTCCTTAACAACTACGGTTAAAACTTGTGCAGTTGTGGTCGCCCAAAGATTGCTATAAAGGTTTTATAGCTCAGAAGCTACATATATGTTATATTTTTAGTTTTAAATATTAGAAATTTCATTATACTAAATGGATTTGCTTAATGTAATTTCTTACTGTGCCGGCAGTTACTGAATATTTAAAAAAACTATTCACAATAGATACCATGTAAATTTTAAATATTTTAGCGCGCAAAATGCTGCCTAAATGAACTTCCACTAAAAAAAATATTTTATTGCACATATACATACATATTTCTACATACTTTATTGTTCATAAACAACATTGAGATTGATGGGATTGTCAAGAGAAGGAGTGTATTTTGTCATCGCCGTCGACAACAGCCAAGCTGTTTTTCAGTACTTCGGATTGGTTAAGTAAAAAAAACGAACTGCTTTGGCAGCGAACGATTAGGTACAAGACGAAATATCGCAACGATGCTATCGACCACCACACTTGCCGGATGGAATAGATACCGAGAATTGAAGAGGGAAGCAATAAGCATGTGCTTACCAAAAAGGAAAGAGTCCGAGTTGTGTGAGCATGAAGACTTTGAGGGGCTGGTCGACATGATGTCTATAAAGAAGTCAGAGTAGCAATTGCTAGCTTGAAAAACAACAATGCAGCGGTGGCCGATGTATTTCTGGCTAAGCTATTTACATACGTCATTGAAAAACTGTGGCTTGTTGTACCTGGTAAATTCACCATTAACCAGATATTTAATATGCGTTAAATCTGACTGTCGAGAAGGACCTTCCGGAGCTGTTCGATACCAAACGAAGTCTCAGACAAGGCAACTCCTTATCGTGTGATTTTTTTTATTTATTGCTGAAAAAAATAGTAATTCTGCTTTCTCCAGACTAGATAAGCAAGCGAATCGTATGGGCTCGCACGTCACTGTGGACAGTCAACAGGTTGAATTCGTAGTCATCACCACCAACAACAATCTCAGCCTTGAGACTCAACTCCGAACTCTTTCCAGCAGCTGCTACTTCGTCTCTTGGACGAACAAAGACCAAATTCTACAAGGCGCTCAGCATTCCTCTCTTGTTATATGATGCGGAGGCATGGATCTGATGAGTCTGCGTTGGGAGTTTTCAAGAGAATGGTTTTGAGTAAGTTCTTTGATCCTCTGTTCTTTGACAGCTGCGAATACCGCAGCCAGTACAGCAACACTGACATATTTCAGCAAATCAAGAGACAGACAGCGGATACGCTGTCTAAATCATGTGGTCCGAAAGCCTTCGATGTAGTACCTACCAATGGAAGCAGAAAAGGAGGAAGACCTCCACTCCGTTGGAAAGACCAGATAGAGAAGAACCTGGCTATACTTAGTATTCCTAATTGGGATAAAACAGCGAAAGAAGGAAGGAGTCACGCAGTGTTGTTAACACGGATATATTCGCGTAAGTGGTGTCTACACTGGTAAGGAAAAAGTTAGGAGCAACAACGTCAAAAACACACGATCACTCCTGTCGTATTATACAGGAATACATGGCTGACGAGGAAGTTTGTCAAAGGTAAAACGCTAGTTTCGTATAAGTGAGTCTCTTAAGAGGCTATAAGTGTAATGCAAAGAGACCAAAAGTTTGAAGATAATTGGCGCTTTGTAACCGCTGAAGCGATTTTCGGTAGATCTCCCCCTCCAATTTGTAGTTTTGAGGGTTGATGTTTTTCCAAGAAATAGATGGATCTACAGTTACACTAAGCCGCCTCCGAAAGGCTGATGGTTTCTTATGAGGAGCCTTTATTTCAAGTGAGAAATATACTCAGAGGGAATGACATTCCCTGCCGAGCGGCGACCGCAATTGGAAAACTTAACTTAATTTTTTATTTAAATTAATTTTCTATGGCTTTGGATGTTGGTCGTACCGGAATTTGAACCCTGGTCTTCCGAACGGTAGTACGCAATGCTAACCACTCGGCTAACGCAGCAGCCTAGTTTAGAAATAATAGAGAATATAATTTATATTGACTTTTTCATACTTTATTAATTACGTAATACAAAGGAGAAAGTGTGAACTAACGGTTAATATCCTATAAATAACTGAATATAACCAAAAATAATGTGTTTTGGTATTGTTCGTTGACAAAAAATGAAAAAAAAAATGAATGAACTGAATTAATTGCATAAGATGGATGAATACATACATAGATTAAAAGTTATAAAAATTTTATAGCTTTTAACTTAACTAAACTAAGTAAGTGATTTCTTTTCGAATTAGTTTACGCCCATAAATAATTGTACTCTCCGCTAGCATGCGCTGGCTCGCTCACTGCGCTACATCTTCGGCATGACGTTTATTTAATAGATTTAATTCGGTTTCATATTCATTTTTGGCTATATTATGTGGCCCCGGACCGGATACAGGTAACTTGTCTTGCATTACATGGAAAGTGTTACGCAACTGCTCCAACGAATCGGCGAGTCCTTGTTTGATGGCGTCGAATTCCTGTGACATCAAAGACAGTTTGCCCAAAAGATAGTTCAAATTTGTGTCCATCTCAAACATACGCCCCTTAATGTCTTCCACTTTATTACCCATTGAATCCATGCTGCCGAATGTGCTGTTGACGAATACCTCATTCCGTCCTTGCATTAGATTGAGTAGATCTCGGTTTTCGGTTATCTCGCCATTCATAATGGAAATTTGGCGCCACACATGACTGATCTCAGTCTCAATGGTCGAACTGAGATTTTGCATTGTCTCCATTTGACTGTTAATGATGTTCTCATCGATGGCGTCGAAACGCGTCTTCAACAAATCGAACATCTCTTCACGTTGTTTGTCAATTATATCGTTGATCTTTTGCACCGTCTGTATGGTGCCGAATTCCACCTTGCGTTGGGTGTCAAAAACATTTTCCGAGTTCGTCATTAGGATATTGTTGAATTTGCTGAATACCTCAAGAGCGTCATTCAATTTGCTGTAACTCGAGTTCATTTCGTTGTAGAATTTCTCGAGTAAATCTGTATGTTTCGTGACCCCATCAGAAATTTTATCAGCACCGGCCTGAAGATTCTCTGCGGATGCCTTGATAAGTGATGCGGTCTCAGCTTGAGCTATGAAAAAATATAAAAGAAAATAATTGTTAAAACAAGGTCTCATTTTTAGCTTCCTCCATATTTATCTTTATATACTCCTTGCGCTTACCTTTATCTGTACTACTCTGCACATTAACCTTTACGTTTTCGAGCGCACCGAGTGTTTCGTTCGTCAAACCATGTATAAATTCCTTGTCTGCTTCTGTTAATCCCTCCTTCGGCTTTGGCTGTGCTCGTAGCTCTTGTATGCCAGTCGCGAGCTCATCGAACTTCACCAACACTTTGTTCTCAAACTCAGAATTATCTACCGGCTCTGGTAATGGTGCTGGTGTTACCACACTATAGCTCACTAATTTATCTTCAATTTTAGTTAACATTTCCGCAGTGGATGGCACGCTCTTGAATGCCACTTCCGTCTGTTCCATCATATGATTGGATGTATCCAAGAGTTTGGCAACATTCTGCGATAATGTCATTATCTGCTCAAGCAACTTTTGGTTGATTTTTTCCTGCTCTTTGAGGAACTCTGGTGGTATGGCTGGTGCTTGCACAATTGGTGCCGGTGCAATCGCTAGCGGTCCAGGTGGTCGTTTATAGCACTCATCGTTCTCACGCATCCATTTGAAGATGTGTTCCAAAGTTTCGCCGAGCTTTTCAGTCTGTATGTTGTATTTTTCTTCTTGCTGTGAGTTGAAAAAATTTATTATTATAATATTTAATTATTCAATAATTCTGTCCACAGCTTCACTTCAGTTACCGTTATCAACATCGTTTCGATCTGGCTAACTCGCTCATCCAAACGTCCAAATATACCATTTAATGGTTCCAGATTCTTTTGCCCCTTTTGCAGCGTTTGCAAAGCTTTCTTGAGTAATTCACCAAGTGCCCGCTCACGATGCTCGTGTCGTTCCAATTTGTTGTCCAGCTGGTTGTAAGAGTAGACTAGCGATTGCATGGTGCCTCGTATATCATCGCGCCTGAAATAACACAAGAATTAGTCAATTTTTCACGATCTTTCCACTTAGTGGTCTTAGGGAATTTGGAAAAAAGTTAGAGAAAAAGGACAATCTTAACAGTAAACCTACGCTGAGTACAAATGAAGAAGTGTTCTATTTGCTACACGAAACCTTCAGTGATTCTAATATAGTAAACTTGGATTCATAAAATGGTATTATGGAAGCAGATCGAGTCACGAAAGGGGACCTCCTGCGTCCTACCTTATACTGGCTGGCTACTACGCTTTACGCTTCACCATGGTGGTGAAGAGCTGACAAGGTGCCCAATAAATAAAAAAGGGACCCCAAAGCCTGCGCTAATTATCGTGGGTTAATGCTGCTTCCTTCCCTCCATCCTGTCGAGAGTAGTGTGTGAAAGACTAAAACTCACCGTCATCAAACTGATTGGACCTTATCAGTGTGCCTTTATACTTGGTAAATCATATCATCAGATAATCAGCATGCTCCAAATCTTGAAAAAAAACCATGAAGGGAGGATCGACACCTACCACTTTTTCGTCGATTTTAAAATCGCCTTCGACAGTAGGAATAGGAGCTGCTTTTACGCCGCTATGTCTGAATTGGGTATCCCCTCAAAACTTATGCGGTTATGTAAACTGACCTTAAACAACACTGAAAGCTCCGTCAGGATCGGGAAGGACCTCTCTATACCAAATGAGGTTTCACACAAAGTGATTCCTTATCTTGTCACTTCTTCAATTTATTGCTGGAAATAATAATACGAGCTGCAGAGCTGAATATATGTAGATGCTACAATCTGCTATAAGAGTAAGCCGATGATATTGACATTCTGCTTTATGCTTTCTCCAGACTGGATAAAGATGCAACGGATATGGGTCTGGTAGTGAACGAAGGCAAGACGAAATGTCTCCTGTCATCAAACAAACATAGGGTGCATTCGCGACTCGACTCCCACGTCACTGTGGACAGTCATAACTTTGAAGCCGTAGATAAATTCGTCTATTTAGGAACCATTATCAACACTAACAACAATATCAGCCTGAAAATCCAATGCATAATCACTATTGTCAACAGGTGCTGCTTTGGATTGAGTAGGCAATTGAAAAGTAAAGTTCTCTCTCGAAGAATAAACACAAAACTCTACAAGTCGCTCATCATCGGCTTTAGGAGTTTTCGAGAGAAAGGTTTTGCGTAAGATTTACGGTCCTCTACGAGTTGGCGAATACCGCAACCGATGGAACGTATGAGATATGAGATATATGGAGACATTTACTAGATAACCAGTTGAGATTGCAAGCTTTCGATGCCGAGCGTTGCTGTATAGACATGGGTGCGAAGTGCAGATAATGTGGGCCGAAATTAAGTCCCTTTTGGGATTTTTTAGTAGCCGTGAAGCTTGATTAATTAATAAATTATTTTCTTTACTGAAATCTGAGTCAGTTTCAGTTCATTTGCAGATGTTTCCACATTTAGGCTAAACTTTCCGGTTGAGCCGGTGGTACCTTTATTGCTCCACCCTATCATCATACTAAGGATATTAGGTATCTTCTCATACTACAACTCATTTGTGGTGCAATCAAATGTAGTCAGTGGGGCAAGGACAGAATAAGAAGATACTGGGTGGGCTTATGGTGTCGGCAAAGCAATTTCAAAGCAAATGCGCCTTCCACTAATTATCTCCCTTGCAGTACTCACCCAACTCAATGAGTATATACAAATGTTCTGAAAATTCTAAGGAAAATGTCAAACAACTTCCGGCTTAATTATAGTAACATAAAGAGGCAGAAGGTGTGAGCGGCATGCACATATGCGTACACAACACATCAATCAATACCCTTGTCTTTAAAGAAATAATTTTCTAAAGCACCGACTGAACGACAAGATGATCCACAACAACAGACCCAACTGAAGCAACACAGCCATCACATAAATTATCTAGGAAATTATGGATGATAGGTTGCATTTATGGCGTCTTTGACTTTCACAAGTTTGCCGAAATTAGCATAAGAATTTCTTTTTGATTCTTCGTAAATATATTCATGCGGAGCGTTATTGGAATGTACTCGCCACGATTAAACAAAACTGAAATGGAAAACGAAACTGATCAGGTGATCACAGCTTACAGCTTCAACCGGAAACAGACGCTCATGTCTCCTACTTTGGAGGCTGTACAATGAGCCAAATTCACCTCGTCTAGCATGCATGTGTATGCTCGACATCTGTCCACGCTTTTGTTTACATTAATTTCATCAACAATATTGAATCCAAACAAACATCCATACTGAGACGAAACTCCATCATCATCCACAATACATCTCTGTTAATGATAGTGGCGATGCGATGCTCTTAATTCCCATATAAGCTTCACGTACACAAAGGCTGGATCCATAAGCACTAAAGTGTACGAGTACTTTGTAAATAAAATACACCCAGGAAGCGCAGCAAAGTGCTCAGGGTCAGAGCATTGTTGGTATGCTTTAATGTGCCGCATAACCATCAGCACCAACCATCACCAAACGAGAGGGGGCAGCATGTCAAGGCATGTCGATCAACGCTCCGTGGCAATTCACTTGGCATTGCGTAATTTAGAAACGCACATTAGAGTATTCCAAAAATAAATACAATAATATTATATATGTTTTTCTTCTTTTCCTCAAAAACCTTCTGCGCTGCTGGTGCAATATGATGAACTGGCAATCATATGCCAGAGCACTTATTTCAATTGCTTTCCATTTCTACTTATGCAGTCGTCCTCATGAATTCAAACAATTGTGCAGTGGCATGTACTTACACAAATGCTTATGCACATACGCGAACTCGTAATAGTACTTAGAAATTAGGCAGATAAGACGCCGCACAAGGCACAGGCAAAGGCAGCTATTTTTAGTGCCACTGACATGCAGATTAATGAGTTGCTTTGAGACGCAACTTCCAGTGGAGTGCCTGTGAATTGTGAACTGCGTGTGTGCGTGCGTGTGTGCGTGTGCGCGCGTCGACGAAGATGAAGTGTGTATTTTTCTTTATTCTTGCAGCTAGAATTGGCGCCAACTATTTATGAAATTTCACAGTCGAAAGCGAAAATTCTCAACATAAAATAGAGAGGACATAAAACCGTCAGCGTGAAGATTTTAGACGAGACTATTTTTCAATTTAGGCTACAGAAGCGGAAACAGATACGGTTCAGGAGTTCAAGAATTTACCCGCGGTAAGGTATGACTGTCATAAGAGGCGACTAATATCCAATAGTTGCCGCGACAGTCGGGTCTTTATACCAGAACGACCCGGATTTTTATCCGGCCAAGGACGGCCACTCCCGCGTGCAGATCTTTCTCTTCCTCCGCTCCCATCGGCGAGTTGTATGAAAAACTTTCAAGGCTGGAGTATTCTTATCCATTCGGACATAACCACTGTCTCTCGATTCGCTGAACTATGCTAAAGCCAAAGGGTAAAGCGGAGTTTCCACAGCAGCCAAATAGTGAATTCGTTTGGGAGAGGGCAAAAGTTTGTTGCGGTCTCTTCAGTCAGGAATCCTGAGTTATTTTTTTTACCTTACTGTTTCCTTTCGAAATGAGCTGGGAAAGTTGCAGAGATATTCACAGTCGATAGTAGTTTGTGACTCCACTAAGGGGTTGTTGAAAATTTCGAGCTTTTTACCTGCAGGGTGCCGATCTAAGAGCTTATTTCTAATATAGAGGAAATTCCTTCTTTGCACTCACCCGTCACTATATGTAACGATCGTATGATCCACGCTACATGAAGAAACTAGAACAGCTTGAAAGATCTGTTCCATTTCTGGTGTCGGGAATTCTATTAATTTTTTTTAGGTTTCAAGCCTTTTTACTTATCTTTTAAATCCATACTTACGTTACATCAGCTCTCGCCACATTCTGTAAATCCAAGCCCAACAGACTTAGAAACAGTACACCAATTAAGCGACGCATTTTATGGTTGATGCTGCCCCTCAGCAAGTAAATTCTCAATTTAAAGTACAAACTCTATGCTAACAGCTGCAGCCACGCGTCAGCTTTCGCTCTTCTGCAATTAAAGGAAAATAGACAAATATTATAATCATACATACATACGCATATGTAAATACGCATTTATTTGATATTGAGGGCATTTGCGAGTATAGAAGATATTATATACACAAATGACTGGATACGGCTTAGCATGCGATCCACATCAAGATCACTGGGATGTGGCACTGTGACAGCAATCGGATGCAATAATTTGCAGCTTTATTTAAATATCTAAAAAAAAAAGTTTGTTTGATTTCCTATGGAATTGAATTGAATTAGGTTGGAGTAATGTAAAAGTAAGGAACAATAATAACAAAATTGAGATTTTATTAAGAGCCAAACTTGTCAGTAGAGATGAGAGATGAGAGTGCCAGCGCACATTGAATCACTTTCCTGTCTGGCAGTATTTCGATCAGAACCATGATTCATGTTCAATAATGAATCATGACCAGAACATCCATCCTTCTGTTCGTCTATTGTTCCGTGTGGAGCTGAAAACATCGCTTTCCTGCTTTTTGGCGTTGATTTCGTTAAATAAATTACTTATACCACTTCGTTTGTGGTAAAACCATTTCAATTGACGCTCGCATTTGAAGCATTTTTACCCTACTTGGTTAGAGATTTGAACTGAAATTCAGGCGACGTTTTTTTGTAAGCCCGAATTGAAAATAGAGTGAAAATTTCAATTGAAAATGAGACTAATATCGAAATAATGCTACTAAATTTACTACCCAATGTACTTGCTCAACTCCTAAAAAAATACCCTATATAAACAGTTAAGTCGTCAAAAGCTCAATAAAGTACAAAAAATAGATTTCATACGAAAAGCACTAAAATTCTTTTATAAAGTTTTTTTCCACAACTCTGCTATGAGCATTTCAGTTAAACAATTTATGCCATAAATACATATGTACATATATTAATTTTTCGTTTCAAAAATTATATTAAACAATTTTGCACACATTTTATTGAATGCAACGAATTCCAAATGCAATAAAATATATGGGGTTATACATTTACCGTTTCGAAAATAAACGTAAACAATTTTTTTTCGTGAAATTCCTTTTCGATTATAAAGTGTGAAACTTGGCATTATATGGGAAACACTCTATTATTCAAATACCACCTTTGTGAATTTTAGCAATCTTCGATCCGTTTGAGAAAGAGTGATCGAAATTTTTGGCGCATATTGGACGGCATCTCAGCTATAATTTGACGAATGTTGGTTTTCAAGAGCTCAAGTGTAAAAGGCTTAACACGGCATAAACACGGTATTTGGCGTAGTCACCCATAAAATAGTCCAACGGTGGCAAATCGCCCGATTACGTTGGAAAATTTACATCGCCATGACGAGAGCTTACGCGGCCATGAATTGCCTCTCGCAATAAAGCCATACATTCGCTCGTGTTGTATGTCATGTTGCACCCTCTTCTCGAAACTACATATTGTCCAAGCCAAGTTCTTTAATTGTTGGACAAAAAAAGTCGCTTTCCATGTGACTATAAAGCTCCGAATTAACAGTGACGGCTTCGTTGTTGTCGTTTTCAAAGAAGTAAGGTCCAACCTCCGAACCAAATACCGCACGAGACAGGATATTTGTATTGTGAATAATGGGCTGTTTTCAATAATTTAATGATTCTCGGAGCCCATAGTACGACAATTTAATATTTTAACATCTCTTTTGAGTGAGGTATGTGGCACGTCGATGAAAAAAATTATATACGAAAAATCACCGTCTCGTGGCTACTTTTGAATTACAAGTTTCGTAGTACGGTTTAACAATTTTAAAGTTTTGTACGGCTTTTAGGCAACCCAGTTTCATAACTGACTGAAAGTCAAGTTCGACAGTTATCAAAATATAGCCCTGTACTTTTGAAACCATAAAATGAATAACCCTATTCACATGTATTTAGTTTACAAAACAATGGCAAACAGCTGACAGGTTCATCAATAAATTATTTGTTTATTCTACATATGCACACGTATCTTAACCAAAAAAATAACCTCAACAATAAATATGCAGTGACCCACATGTGATATCGAAATACATTTCAAATAATTTATATACCTTTCATGTACAAGAAATGCTATGCATATTTGCTTTGATTCCGAAGGAGAAGAGGTGGTCACATTAAAATTTATACCCGTTCGGGTCAAAATGACTTATTGTAGAAAGGTTCGTCTGTCCGGCTCTCTATACGCAAACAGGTGAACTGGTACATTTAAACGATCATTTGTCGGAACGAGCCAGTTCGGACAACTATGGCATACGAGTATGTACGACCGATTTTTAATATATACAACACATCTAAGAGTATGGAATTTGGTATTCCAATTTGGTATCCACAAATAATCGGAGAGCTTTATCATAAGGCCGCAAACACCCATCAATGAAAATACATTAAATTTGAAACGGTCAGATTAATGTAAACAAAACGACACTCATTGTTGCTTTAAATGACTTGGAGCAATAATATTTCCGTGTGCTAACAATAATTTGGACATAAACTATTTAAAACCACATGCAATAAATACATCGTTGGGAGATATTAATCCGAATTTTGTAATTTTTTTTTAATTATTGCTGTAATTAGGAAAAGTCTTTGTTTCCATACACAAACATACATACATATATATGTAGTATTGCGGAATGACATGCAAATACACAAATGCGCAAATATTTTCGTTGCATCTCTACAACTTGTCGTCATCGCTGAGTAATACGAAATTTTCCCAAAATGAAAATAAAACTTGTATTAGTAAATAAACTAAATCTTTCAAACACACAAAATACTTGGTGTACTCATTGTGCATTGTGAGAAAAATACGCATTTTTACGTATTTTTGCTCTGAATTTTACGACCACACAAATGGTGTTCCAGTTCCCAGCGTAAAATATAATTTACTTTGCGATTTTCTTTTCTTGTTAACGTTATTTTAAAACTGGAACACTTTTTTTTAACAATTTTCGTGCTAAAGTCCTTTTTGGCATGGAACATTTTGCCAAAAAATAATTATGTAATTATTAAAGATATGCTGAGTTAAGCAAAAATTTGGTTTGCTGCTTAAGTCTTATGCTCTTAACCCTTTGAATGAAAATACGGGATAGTATTGAATTTGGTTAAATTATTTTATTGGTTGACTCAGTGGGTGTGGGAGAAGGTTTGAATGTATTCAAGTTGAGCTCTAGGCTCGTTTCAAAACGTTGTCTCTGACCCAATGCCATAGGAGGCACTGACGCTGCTCAGACGCCAATCGCATACCGCTCAAGTGAGCAGGGATGGGAAGACGCAAAACAGACCAGATACTCAGATATCTGATCTCGACCATAAGATGTTAAATTCCATTACAAACAATGAGCACTTTAGCTGTATCACTTTGCTGATCATTTAAGAATAGCATTCTGTATGAATGTTTTTGCATGCAGAAACTCAAGCAACAGGAAGCAATTAGCCAGCGCCCAAAGTTATGCAAGAATTTACGCTCTTCGCGTAAGCATCGATATTATCAAGTGCGTTTTAGACATAGTTATACCCTTAAGGGACACACCTAGTGTAGAATTTCAAAAAAACGCCGATCTTTTTTTTTCATATTTCGGTAGATTTAAAAATAAAGTTTTTGAGTTATAGCAATTTAAAGAGCAGCCGCTCGGCAGCTAGAGAGTCTCATTAGCTACGAGTGAAAACGATTATTTTATCTTTGAAAGCATTTTTCTCAAAACAGCATTTTCCGAATTTGCTGCAGTGATTACCCAAAACAAATGATCCAATCACTATCGATTTTTTCGCCGTACATATGACATATGAATGACATATCGTTTTTTGATCTGATCAAAAAATCGAATTTTGGCAGGCCAAAAACCACCAAAATTTTGGGTAAAGTCGGACAATTTTTTTTAAAACGCCGCCTTATTGTCAATTTTTAATATTTTTTTATCATAGGTCATTGTACAGGCAATATTATCTGTTTTTTGTTAGATTTCATCCACGGAGAAGGCCGGAATCATTGCAGCAGTGAAGGACTTTTTTTTCGTGCCGTTGGAGATTGACCATAACCTAAAAAATATTTAATTTTTTCTTCAAAAATTTCACTGTATATTCTTGAAACATTTTGTAATAATTGATAAAGTATTTTTTTAAGCAAAATTCCCAAAAATCACCTTTTTGTTAGGCGAATTTCGTTAACATTGTTTACCTGAATAGATTTTTGGACGGAATTTTGTCCAAAAACCTCAGATCTAAACAAATCGGTTCTATGGCAGCTATATGTTATAGTCGTACGATTTCGTGCAATTCATCATATGTGACCAGAGTACCAAATCGCACTCTTGGAAGCTTTTTTGTCAAATTTATGATCCAAAATTTCAGTTTTGAAAAATTATTTGTATATCTGTACATATGTTATGGTCCGATCCGAGCGGTACCGACAAATGATTGTTGGTAGCAAGTTTGGTTGAAATATCTCAAAAACTGACAATCAGGCAGACGGACATGGAAAATATCTCTTCTCCTCCTGGTACTTACATCAAAGAGATAACAATTCAATTGAAACGGATGCAGAAATCGACCAATTAATGAGCTCAACTCTTTTATCTGATGTGGATTTATTGAAAAAACGACGACAGTGTAGCAGACCAAGATTATGTTCTAGGCCACATGTCAGCCAAGGAAGAAGAAATTATTACGAAAATTTTAGATGAAATGGATTATGCGGTCTTTGAACACGGAGTTACACTAATTACCCCAAATGAATTGGATACCAAAGCATCCAAGTGACGAATTCCTCCCATGGAAAGGAGTTCATCTGTTCTCTAAAAAAACTCTTCAGATAGTTGGGAAATACGAAGGCGGATATGGTCTGACGCTATGTAAGTTCCGTTTGGAATCAGCTAAAACTCTATATGCCACCACGGAAAAGCCAACAGTTGGTCTGCCACCAAGTACACTCCAGGTTGTCCTTCGTCTTATTGCAGGATGGGAATGAAGTGAGACTTGATTTTATCAGTGTACGCCCAGA